ACCCGAGTGCCTTCCTCAACAGAGGCATACGACTTCGCCTACGGCACTCCCACTCGATAACCAAATGACAGGCTACTCAATACCGATAGTCGGTCAACGGGCTATATGTATTCATCGTTGCCGTTCGGTCCCTATTCACCGTACGTGTTGATCTCAACTCTAAATACTTGGGTACTGATCGTACATATATTGGCGTCCAATACAGGAATCGGGACTCAATTTCCCACCCAGCTGTGCTGACCGATCTTTTCTATTGAACAACGAAATTCAAGCGTTTCGCACGCTTTGCGTTTTCCAAGCAAGGCTCCAACCTTAGACCTTTCAATACCCAATGCTCAGCCAGCTCAAGACATCCTTCCCCTATTCGGCTTCCTTCAGAGGCATTCCAACATTTCTGTCCATCGTCCAATCGACCTCCACACAACTCCTCTTCATTCGTTAGCAGCCGGCTCGGTCAACTCTCCGTACCTCATACTGCTTCACTAGAGCTACTCCTCGTCCCTTTGAACGACAAGCATCGACCGCTCCACAACTTATGCGAATTTCCAGCAACTTTGAAGCCTCATAATCGAGCTTTCGCAAGGTCTCTTAGCTCATCAGTTTGTCTTAGCAATTTTCTATTGCCAGACAACCAGTGCGCTGCTAAACAATTATCAACTTCTGCCGAGCGTGCTATGGACATTCTCAAAATTGCCCTCAGAGGCAACGATATTGGTCCAATTGACAGTTTGGCTTTTGCAGACGGCAGCCTGTCGAGCACCAGCCTCTGATGGCCCGCAGCGTTGTGGAAGGTGATACAACATATGCGCCCTATCCGAACCGCTCTATCGTGGTTGTGACCCAGTGGATATTGAGCATCTGCTGACAGATTCCCACTATAGCAAATAGCCCCTGTTTCTTCCGTTTGTCCCTTCTTCCTTGACGATTTTTCTTCGTCTTCCTTCTGTCAAGGGCTCCCTCACTGTTCAAGTTAAATGATTCTCATTTTTTGTTACTTTGTGATTCTAGAAACAAGTTAATTTGCACTGAACATATGCCATCGCTTTCTATACATACACATGGATAGATTTATTCGAAAGACCTGCCTATATACATTTATGCAGCGTAGAAGACCTTGTGGTCCTTGGTAACTATTATGCTATCCTGTGTTCATCAGAACAACAGTTGTTTAATCCCAGGACTAGATGTAGGTTCATGGCTTACCTGTCTATGTCATGCAATCCTAGACGACTATAGCGATTGCCTGCATCAATGAACGTTTACTTTCGAGCAACGTGTTAACGAATTGGCACATACTGTCTTACTAAGCTGAGAGCCGTCGTGCCTGGCGCATCACCCGGATAACTCAATGTAGCCATGGCCATCAAATTACATATATGAAGTGCAGCTTGCTGAACGAAATCTCTCCCTTTTGTGCAATGTTTCCATAAAATCGGGCAGGACAGTCTACCAGGCCCTTGGATGTGTTTTGAAGAATGGTACAGCAACAAAGCTCCGGGTTGCCAGCCTGATTACTTTAGCTTTTAGCTTCTATTCCACCTAGGCATACTCAAGAGGAATAGAAATGTGTGTCTGCAACTGTCAAATCAAGATCGAAAACTCTACGCTCTGCCGACCTAACACCAGGTCATTATCAGCAACCTAACCCCGTGCTTCATCGGTGCAAGTCTCTTGTTCTGATTCCGATTAATCACTATACATCCATTCAGCTTAACTAGATACTCCTTACTGATTGTTGCTTGGCTATTCTAGTCAATTCCATTCATCTCTCATCCACCATGTTCGTTCCACCGCCCGGCGTCTCTCTTCCAAACCCTCTCTAACAGAAATCTCATGTTTTGCGTTCTATCCGGCAAAATGTCACTGATCGCGTGCATACCATCCTCAGCCAAGCCCATCTTCAGGGTGTTCCAGCTCAGCCTACAACAATTACGTTTTTCATGCCTGCAACAATTCATACCAAGGAGCAATAATTCCACAAGGTCAGGCCAAAACCCGAGCTTGAGCTCCACCGTCCAACGCTGCATCGCTGGCTTGCACTGCCCACCTCACACAGGGATGTTTCCTGGTATCACTGCGGGTTCAATTACGAGAAAACCAACATTCGCAGCAGCACCTCGTCCTCTGTTGGGAATCGAGGCGTCACTTCCAGAACTGGCCATCCAGACCTCACACGCCACTGACCACCACGTGGGATACAGTAACTTCCCTTTAGGCGTTCATCCCCGCTGTCATTGCCACGCTCCTTCGTACGACAGAGTTCTACTCTAAGATCTAGATCCGATGAGGTGCCTCCTACGCGAGAATGGTCGCACCAGGGGAATAGCTCTACCACCCACTCTCATTCGGTACTCATACACAGCGGCTTTTTCTTTGTCCAACACCTCTCCTTACCCCATTCCTTCTTTACATACTGTCTCGACCCCTCACAGGGTCCGCAAACACGTGGACTCGCACCACTGTCACAGCCTGGTCTTGGGGCGCACACACACACACCTACTCAGGGCCCCCAGAACCTCTTAGGGGCACCCACGCCACGCCGCTTCTGAATCTCCTGTATCCATCTCGACGGTCATACAAGGATGGGCAGCCAACGGTTGGCGCGGCCACAACATTTAGTTTAGAATTTTTCTTCTATTACAAACATAATTAAATACTTATTTCCTGTAAAATATTACAATTATAAAATAATAATTTAACTGCACAATTTCTTTACAAAATTCCATAGCTTGACATGTCCTCATACTCCCTAGGAGGTTACAGGGGCACAGGCTACTCCTACGCCCTCACCGACGTTAAATACTACAACAACAAAATAACAGCACCTCATACCATGACCTTATTCCCCGCTCAGCCGGCGTCGATCCACTTCTGTTTCGACTACGTTTTCTCTGGTCGCCTCTACGAGCGCAGACTTCCTTCAAAATGGCAAACTTTGATGCAATAATCTCCCTACCAACCAGGCTCTCTTCGTGTGGGACACAATTCCTTCCTCGGAGTGGTCTCTGTGCTTATCCTCCCCAAGATATGTGTTCGCTATTGGCCTCTGAACTGTGTTGAAGGCACACAGCATAAGTATTCTGCATCATCTACATCATCCATTCCAATTTCCATCTCGTTAGAACTCACTGTCTTCAACGGAAGGTAGGATAGAGGAAGAGACCTGTGATCATTTCATCCCCGGAACATAATCGGCCACACATATCTTCGGGCGAAAGGTTCAATGTGAGCCTAGCACTATAGGAGTGGCTTTTTATTCGCCGATCAGCCGACTTTGTAGCGCTTTGTACAGTTTAGATCTTCAGTCCCTGCTTGAGCTTCTTTATTTTACGCTTGGCGAGAGAAAATCCACGTATTTTGTCAAGCATCGGTCCTTGACTCTCCAACCACACTAGATAAGAATACCAACTGCTATGGTGGATGAACTGGAAACTTAGAACCAGGGGGGCAGGCCATGTAAATTCCATACACACGATTTGTTTTTATGCGTAATGTAGGCAGTAGTATATTCGGAAGTAGATGTGCGATTGGAGGCCGTTTGAATCCTAGGTATGCAACAGCTAGAGGAAGCCAACAAATATTTCATCGTGGATCTTTGCCAAAGTTCAGTGGACCTAGATCTGTGGATAGCAACGAAGTGCATACATGGGGTTTGGAGGACACAAATTCTCATGCTATCAGATCTTCAAGATTGAAGAATCGTAAAATTAATGGATACCGAGGGTAAAGCCGAGCGGTGGATTGGTAGATCAGAATACACCGCGTCAATAGCAATGAGGCTCAAAGAAAACAAGGACCTCATAGATACTCCACCACCTGTAGACAGAAAGGGAGTGAATACATAGGGATTCTTCAAGTAAAGTCAAGGCACATGGTTGTCTACAAAAACTGAAGCTAAGAAGCGAAGGTACTTTCTTGAAACTAAATATCTATAGAAGACTTGCTTGGTTTCACCACGATGGCTACTCATCCTGATCACCACGTAGAGGTGCAAGTCATGATCAGGTGTTGCATACAGGCCCCATGCAACTGGGTCAGACTCCTAAAGCGCAAGGTGTAATGAAGGAATGGGGTCAAGGATCGGAGGAGGACAGGGATAACCAGGAAGAAGGACCGTATCCACGCTCAAAGAACCTTGGAAGTGTCCGTGAACTAAGGCGCGCTTCGTGTCGAGACCAACCCCTTTGGAATCCCTATCCCCTAGGGGAAAAAGTGGGAAACCCTCAGATTGCTCTTCATTTGGGGCCGGGCAAGTTAGTGGCGGGCAGTGAAGGAGTGGGGTCAAGGCTTGGAGAGGTAACAGTGGAATCCGCAGGCAGGACGGGCTGTATCCGCAGCGGCCGAAAGAGTGTCTTCCCCGTGTGTTGAACACAAGGCGCGTATTTCAGCACGTGTCTCCTTGGCATGCTTCGTGACTAACCTTTCCTGCGGCACATCAACAGTCCCTAGAAGGATACAAAGTGGGAAACATCCTCAGAGAGCACTCGTCATAGGCGCCAGGCAGATAAGTGACCGAAGGAATTAGGTATGGGCAGAAAGATGGGAAAGGAAAGGAAGGGGGACGGGAATACATGCAAAAAGCGGAATGGAGGGCAGGGGAGTGGAAGAAGGAAGAAAAGAAAATCAAAAACTGGGGGGACGAGACAGTATTTATACACGAGGGGGTCCTTAGGCAACAAGGTGCTGGGTTCAGGTGTGCCTTCCTGAATAGGGAGCGGCACATCAATATGGGTGCTCCGTATCAGGTACCTACCTATAGGTACCCGATCCCAGATATTCGAAAGCACCGGTACTTGATCATTAGGTATTGTCTACCTGGTTCCAGCTCCATGAAGCTATTCCTCTTGTCCCCATCATATGAAGGTATTATGAATGGCACTTTGGCCTCAACAGCCGGTGCCTGGCGCTGACGCCTGGCGGCCTTCGTGGATCAACACTCTCTGGCATATACGAGACAGCAGAGAAATCTTGTATGTATGCCTCAATTTGTTTCGATACCAATGGCTGGTCCTGCACGCACTGGGCTGACGCTGGACAGAGTCTGTTTATCAGGCCTAGTCCCCCACTGCCTAGCTGGCGCCGCCCTACTGGTGAGATTACCCTATGTTGACTACCTCGACTGATGGCCTCTCCGAGCTTGTCTCCCGCCTATAGGTGTGTGCCCTCCACCTGGATGCAAAGTGCGCAAGACTCCCCAATGCCCCGACCGCTGACCAGGTAAGTACGCCCAGGGACAGCCACCAATCTCTCGACACGGCAGGCTCTACGCAGAATGAATGAGATTGCTGACAATATCCAAAGTGTCTCTGGCACGGTCGCTGATCCGGGTTGCTGTCACAGTATCGACCCCGCAGGGACCGTGGCCATGTACCAAGGACGCGACGCAAAGCCAGCCTACAACAGACTTCACTTCTATCCCTTCTCTCGAATCCAACGCAGTACCAGCAGACCCGGGGACAAGCAGGATGAGCAGGAACAATATTGAGATAGACGCTTCGTCTCGTCGTGCCTCATCGTGTCTTGTCGTGCATATTTGAGTACGGTCTGTATCCAGATCTTGGGACCCTGTCTACAACCCCTGCTAATCTGCGACCACGCATACTTAGTCCTGCGGGATAACCTGCGGTGAGGTAGCTCCAAGGTTGGTGGGAACTACCTGCAGGAACCCGATTCCCATAGCCGCCATTCGTCGAATCGGGCGCCACAACGGCTCGGGCCGTACCCACATGCCGTCCATCTGCATGCGATGCAACGTTCACTGTGACATCCTTCATGTGAGTGTACTTTCAATGTGTCTGGGACTATACACGTGGCATCATAATGTGCGTCTACTACATTTAGATCAGCTCCGGTCTCCTTGGTGAGTTACGGTTCGAGACAGGCGCTTCGATCGGGGCACGGGCGCACAACGCAGTGACTAGACACCAGGTCTACAGAAGTCATATCACCTCAACGCATCCTTCCGACCGGCCCATATTGATGTCAATGACATCGAGAGTGATTGTCTATAAGGATATTGGCTTGTCGGGCACAGAGTGCAAGCACTACACAGTAGCAGATTTGGCAGTCTTTGTCGGCCAAGGGTCGGGAACATCGAAAAGCCTTCAACGGGGGGCGAAGTACAGGTGCTGCGACAGCTCTCTCAAGCTCACAGACTGCATAATATGGGAATGGAACTAATCTGCACCGGGAAAAGAGATAATAGCTTGCTTGTGGAGGTATCGAATTTACCTACCTACATCATTGTAGGAAAGCGCTCGTAGCTAGCCTAGACTAGTCATATATTCCATAAGATCTATCTCTATTCTCCATCCACAACAATATAGTCACGAATTGTAGCAGTGCCATTGATCACACTCGCAATCTGATCTTCAGTACAGGTCGACTCCAATGCAAGGATGTAACAGACCGGGTGCGGGCTCTCTGGGACCTTGTTCTTGATATGCCAAGTAGACGCAGGCCCACTTGTAGTATAGGAGCGATCTTTTGCAGTATCAATCTTTCCAGTAGCCAGGTCACGGTTAAAGAGTGCGCGATGGAAGATATCATACGCTGTCTGTGGCTGATAAGCTGGAACTTCATGGCCAGCCTGGTAGACACGGATGAAAGAGAAGTTGCCATGCTGTCGGACCTGGCCACCGATAGACGAGGAGCTTGTGTGTAGAGGCGTGTAACCAGCAGAGCGGAATTCGGGGGCCGCAGCATGATTGACCAGCAAGCTGGCATCTTCGCCTCCAATCCAGTTGCAGGCGTAATCGCGGTCGCCGTAGACGAGAGCGACCTTGATACCGGAGTCAAGAACGTACGCCAAGTCCTCGATGTAGCCTCGCACATCAGAACGCGGGTAGTCACCGGTAGATTTGAAGGCATTGTAGGCGCCGTTGCTGGACTCGGTGAAGTTGATTGGGACGCCCAGGGCGCGTTGCACCCAATGCTGATTCAGCCAGCCGAGAAAATAAGATGGCGGGAAGGGATCTGGGTTCTTGTGGGTGATGTCGTAGTAGCCACGGTCTGCGTACTCTAGGTATGGACCCTCGAGATTGTTTGTGCAGATCTTGTCGGCATCGCGGCATGCTTTGTTAACAGTCTCATTATTGCCATACATCAGCGGGTCGCCCTCCGTAGCCAAGTCGCGACAGTGAGTGATTAGTTCTTTTCATCCGCCAGGTCGACTCCATGCTTCCATGGCATTATCATAGACGGTCCTGTTGATGGCTTCAATATCGTAGGTGTTGTTATATGCCATCGCAGGATATGATGGTGCCTGCACTAGGAGATCGATACAGCCGTTGATGATGCCCAGTGTATCCAGATGAATGTAGTGTGACTCTCCCGGTGTGTCAATGCTCCCATTCTTGATCTTCTCATTTTGCTCCTGGAAGAATGCAGTAAAAGCTGGTCCATAGCGACCGCCGTATGACTCGGTCCAGATGCTAACTCGCTCATCATGGGGCTTGTAGTGTGGGAACTCGGTAAACCAGGTCTGAGCAAAGTGCCACAGGGACCGTGCAGAATTCTCGGTACTATTAGCAACTCTCGACTGATTTTGGCTGGCTATCGTGCCGACATAGAAAGTGTTGTTCTGCTTGGGCACTTCGGTCCACTCCGACAGGTTCCAGGCACCTTGGATCTGATCAAAGGTGCCATTGGTTGGAAAATCATAGCTGAAGCCGACTTGGTTTGGCTGGTCAATATATAACATATTCACATAGTTGTTCCAGGACCAAGGATTGGGCTCCGTTGAATTGGAATCCTCGTTGACCACACAGGGCCCATTTTCCTGCATGAGGCCAATCATAGAAGAACTGCCTGGACCACCGTTCATCCATATGGACAGAGGTGCATTCTCTGGGTTGTGACGAGATTCGAAGAACCAGAAGAAAGTATTGATCGGGTAGTCTTGTTGGACATTCACATCATCCAAAGCGCCCGGGGGCAGATGGACGTAGCCTGAATAAGACTTTACCCCTGGTGTTGTTTCACAAATCCCCGGCTGTGCAATTCATCAGTATAGAAGACGAATGGCTATAATGTCTTTGCAAAAGAGATTGTACCTCTTTGTATGAAATCTTGACTCCCTTCTGATGTTTCGATTCCACGACCTTGACTCCCTCGGGCGGGGGCGGGAAGTACTGCGCCGCAGCAGTTGCTGCCAGAGCGGCAGTCCACAAGATAATCATGACCTGGATGGAGTCAAAAAAGCAGAAGGCAAGATCCTGGACCCTAGGGTACAACGTCTGGTATATGAAGACAGCGATCGTGCCTCGGTGCAGATCGGACCTCAGACAGTAACGGGAGGGGAAGTGCCAAGACTCATTCTCACCGGATGATCGCCGTACAATTCTCCACTCTCAGACACACACCCATCGCTACTAAGTGAGAGTCTGAGTTGCAAGATGAAAACGTGTGTCATTGTGCTGCGCTAATTCTCTAAAGTCATTCTCGGACAGAAGATCTCAACATCCTCTTTCCAAATCCAATCATCAAATCATCAACCATCGCCCCCAGAGCCATTGATCGCCGATTATAACGCGACGTGGAACAAATACCGCTGATAAACCTGTGCCGGATTGTGTGCGATATATTCACTGTGATACAATCCTGATCGGCTACTTGTGTTCGTCGTGGTTCCAGCATGAACATCTGGCACAAGCATCCCTTCCAAATCAGGGTGGATATATCCTGCATCACGCCACTTGTTATGAATAGTGTTTCCAATGTGTCGACGTGCTATGCTCGATTCTTTCGGAGCTGATTCCATGCCTAGCTCAACTTCACACAGCAACATCAAGGCTGGCCCGCCCTGAATTCGGCAATATCCTGCCGATTTGGTGGACATGTCGGCAAAGTACACTCCAGGACAGAAGTTTTTCCCATCAAGACTGGCAATTCCGTCGCCACGCAGCCCTTGGCTCAAGATACCCGCAAAATTTCCGGAAGTAGAGCCATGCCACAGTAGCCGTCGATCTCCAATATTCTCGCTGTGCGCTTTCTTCCATTGGGCAAAGCGCTCTGCTTCCCCTGGACGTTCGAGCCGGAAGATGTTAAAGACCCGCTAGACATGAAAGAGTTAGTGCGCATGAAGGCTTGATGTTTTTATTTCTCTATCAGTTAGGAAGCTCGAGCCCAGCTTGCCTTGAATTGATTTGGGTGGTTTCGCGAGGAACTCATGAAAAGATATTCCTGAAGCATCATAAACTCCGTTGAGTTTTGATCCACTATTGTCAAGTTTCAATTGGTGATCTGATATATTGCCCAAAACTGGAAAATAAAGCGATACAAACGCAAGGAGTCACCTACCTGGGATCATCGTCGCCAAACCAAGTACTCGACACAATTGACTCAGAGCCAGTGAGGAAGACTGGGATTTATGTTTCAAGATCTCGCTTGCATCATGCAATTTGAGTAAGAGATCGAGGGATTCCAATTCTTTCCTCACCTCATTCTGGACGACTGAAAGGGCATTGGCTGTTAGAATCAAACTTTGGTAGATTCTGCCCAATACCCCCTTAGCTTTGATCTTTTTGTCAGGTGTCGGCTTGGAAGCTTTAGTTAGCTTCATCAGCTTCTTCAAAACTGCCACCCCAACCAGAAGTTTCTTCTTCTCCAATTTGCCCCCCTGCAGAACATTGCGCCCACTGTTGGTCAGGATCCCAGTGTAAACATTCATATTACCTGATTTGAAGATAAATTCCAAGACATTTTCAACACTGGCGGGCAACTTGATTATCTCGCTGGGGAGAATGAGATTCTCCTTGTGATCCATTTCAAGGAAAACCCAATTGTTCTCAATCGGGGTAGCATGGCGCTTTTCCCAGACCAAGCCACTAAGATTCTCGAAAGCTGTCTCAAACGCAAGTTTGGCCGATTCCAAGCCTCCAATGGTGCCAACCGACTTCGATTCTTCGGATGATCCAGTACGATATTCAAATTCCCAGATGTGGAACTGCTGCGATTCCTGATGATGGAGGAGTTGGATGCGCAAGATCCTGACCTGTGACCCTGTCGCGTCAAGGCTGGCCAATGTGGCATCCCATATCAATCCTTCGTCCTGCCAAACGGCAAGCTGAACACCTAATAATATGAAACAAAAATGTTAGACGGTATTCCTGAAACATTCTGACCACGCTACTGACTCGGCTCTGGGTATCCCTTGTCAACCAAGTCGGTCAAATACTTGCGGATGATTCGCTCTTCGTCCTTCTTCTTCTTCGAGGCGCCAACTTCATCCGCAAGAGAATGTTCCCGTGCACGCTTTTTGCCTTTAGTATCGCCCAGTTCCGCCCCATCCTTTGAGAGTAGATATTCGTGGACATTCGCTGGGAGATTCTTTTCAATGCTCCTGAGCAGCCAGTTGATATCCACAATTTGACAACCTTCCTGTTTGCGCGCCTTGGTGACTAGAGAATAAACGTCTTCGTTAATTCCTCTCCACATGAAAAATTCAAGGCAACTAACTCTTCTGCAGCTTTCTCTTGACATTGCTTTCTGTGGTCACCAGATGAGTACACTGGGCGATATCCATCGTGGCAAACCTCGCACCGCATTGTTCCACCATCTCCTTGATTTTCTCTAGATGACGAGGGGTTATCAATCAAATGGTCAATGGCTCTTTTCTTTAACGTATCATAAGAACATCATACCATGTTGATAACCGGGGATATTCCCACTGGCACTGATGACCAGCCCCTTCAAGGTATCACTCAGTTTGTCAACCAGTTGGTTGGGAGCCATCTTCCCATTAATCGATGATGATGAGTATTTAATATTGATGAAGAGATATCTGGAATCGAGTATAGAAGACTGGGGGGAAGCTAATCTCCCTTTTAAATTATATGTTGATGCCGCTAATGCAGGATGGCAATGTCCGGCAAACTTAGGTATCAACAAAGAAATTACCAAAAACCTTTTTCAGGCACCCAGGTTTCTCATTTGACACCTGAATCTAAGAGCTCTGCTGTTGAACATGATGTATTCGATGACTCGTTGGGGAACCCGGCCTGAAGAGGTCAAGCTGACTATAATTGAACAGCTCCATTTGTTACAGTCAGGAACCCGACATCGCGAGAACTATATTCAAAGCTAACAATACGAGATCTCATGTTGAAAAGCTAAAAACGTTTCATCAATTTGTTATTAAAGCAAAGCAGCACTCATTAGCAGAAGATTCATCAGACTAGGTAACCCGGGGGTTCAAGGATAAAGATTGCAGCAAAAGAAGCCAGACTGCGTATTGGAACATCATCAAATCACGATCCCCGTCGACGAAAGACTTCATGGCAGAAAACACCATTTAGTTGCTGGTGAAGTAGTTGAAAGCAACAACGGGACCCAGCTTGACCTCCTTCGCCCAAGCATCGAGATCATAACGCATACGACCCACGTTGCCAAGCTTCTTTCCACCGGCAGGAGCATGAGCCTTCAGATCGAAGCCTTCAGGCTGTTCGTACAGGAAGAAGAGGTACCGATGAGGACCACCGACCGGAGGGGGAGCAGGGCCAATGTAGTTGGCGATGAAGGGCGCGTCATACTGAAGCGCAGCCTCACCGGTGACCTTGATGTCGGACTGGATCCAGTGCAGGATGGGGCCGAGGAAGTTGAAAGCAGTGAAAGGCGCATCGATATCCAGGCTCACAACCAGGTAGGTGCTAGTGGGGTTGGCACCAGAGAAGGCGAGCTTCGGGGGATTTTGGGCTACTGTGAGGATTCTTAGTTGGTGATCTCAGTTTCTAGCTACTTGAGAAAATGGCAACTCTTACCATTGCGGGAGAGCCAGGTTCCTGGCTGCACGTTCTCTTTGTCACCAATGGTCAAGCTGAGAAGCTTGGACTTGTCATTCTGGATGAGAGTGAAGGCTGCCCGGATTTGCTTCTCGGAAGGCATTTTGGCGGGGTTTTGTCTCTGAACGCGGACTTAAAAAGAAAACAAGTGAGAGGGAGGTTGCTTAGTCGACGACGTGTCCGTTACAATTAGAGTCGGGAAGGAACGCGGTTGTATGGCTCCTTCCCAAATAAGGTGGCACAAGCTTTGGTCCAAGCGCCTCGGACTTAACGCGGAGATAAGGAAGTATACACATCTCTCTATCATCTCTCTGTATACTTCTGGACTCTTGTGGTGCCAACTCACGCTTAGGAGACTGTTGGGTGTTCGAAGGGCGTGATCAAACCTTGGTGACTATCCTGCTAGTGCCTGTCTAAATATTCGATGGTGTTCATACTTCGCACCAAAGGTCCAGTTCTTAATCACCTTAAGGGCTTGGTGATCATGTCACGCAATATTCCTTCGCTAGGATATGAGGATCTAAAATCTTGCCTAAAGATGCTTTGACCCACACTTGACGCAAATAGCCACATTCATTACTGAGGAGAAAAAATCCCACAGGAAATAGCCCCTAATAGGCTAAGCTGCAAGTTCATTTCAGTTAAATAGTGGAAAGAAAGAGATTTTATACGTGAAATACTTCACCTTCGCACATATCCGGCTTCTTTGGGGATGCTCTATTCCTACCTAGGTAAATTCATCTGTATCTAAATGTTGACCGTCTTGTGATTTGTGATAGCTGCGAACTGTGGGCTAGAGTTTGCCAAGGAGATAGGAATATGGTGGATCTACAGATAACTTTGATGATGGAATATATAATATATTAATTCGGGGATATTAATGGGCCAGATACGTTTAATAATCGATACTAAGACAAGAAACAAACAAAAAAGGATTTTGACTTAAAGTTGGGGCTCAACTAGTATATAGAGGATGGTCACAAGGATACGAAGTTGTATAACGCTCAGGGGCCGCTTTCAATTGAAATCGAATTTGTTGTCTCAATATGCCTGAATTTGGGCGGGCAAGCACTAAGATACCTGAATGACCATAACGGACCTTTGTAAATGCCTAGTCAAGCTTAGGTACCTAGGTCCAACCATGGAAAGCAGGTAGGTCAAATGCCATGTTTGCAGGCTGATAATGTCTTTTGAATGGTCTTTTGGGTAGTCTTTTTAACTAAGTTCTGAAGATCCTATTTACATATATCTTCTTCTCTTATCAAGACATATATGGTACGAATAGCTTCAATTAAGGACTATGATTTATAACGCAGATGAGAAATACCTAGATACACATTGAGCCAAAACGATAGATTATCAGGAAACCATGTTCAAGACCTCAGAAGTGTGACAATACTAACGTCAATCCAACAAGCTGGCTATCAACAGCCCGTCGATTTAAACAGCCTCATCTTGCAATGCAGAGTCCGTGACAGGCAGGTTAAGTGTCTTTTCAAGCTCTGTATTCTTAATAGTATGCAGTAACATAAAAGGGAAGCACAGTCGGCCATATAAATCTTCATCCTGAAAAGAAGTCAGCATCCCATTTCTCACACAAGACATGCCCATAACATACCAAACTACCCCCTTCATCCCAATACCTCCCAGGACGATATTCATGCTTCCAGACATCAGCATCATCGACAACACAAACAATAATAAACCCACCCGTGTCCCATTCAAATAAAACCCCGGCTCAGCCCGGAACCCCAACCATCGTCGAAACAGATCCTCCGCCGTTTGCGTCGCAAACATGTACGAAGTCCGATACCAGAGATAATCAAACCGATGATCCCAATTCCAAATACTATCGGGTCCACCATTGACATTCTCCGGCGGGCCACGATTGAAGATCCGCGCCATCTCACTCGGACTCCATTTCCCATCCACGTAGATCGGCTGCGGAACATGGACGGCTTTGAGTCCGTGCAGCAGTGCCCAAGACGGAGCTGACATTTCCGAGGCAAATGCTTGTCCATGGTTGTGTTGGCCATCGTGCATTGCTGTGAGAAGTTGTTTTGAGATACGCCATTGTGTGATGACGGATGTTCGTCGGGGGATGTTTCGGGGTAGGTTCCAGAGCATCCATGGGAATGTCCAGGATGTGTTGCGGGGGTTGAATATTGGGAGGAAGGTGATTAGGTCTGCTTCTTCGCCGACTCCCCATTTGAAATTGTCGTCTTTGGGGTTGGGGACTGGGGGTTTGGGGCCAATTGGTGTTATGTCTTTGTGTCTCGCGGGTCCCCATATGCTTTGCTTGTTTTTCATTGAGCGCGTGACCATGTTTGAGAACTTTTTCCAGGTCCCGTGGACACCGGGGGTGTAGAAATAGGCGTTTCGTTCCCAGAGATATCTTCGAGGTTGGCTTTTGGCGAAATTGATGGCTTGTTCGAGGAAGTGGTAGGTGTGGCCGATGATCCGGTTATCGAATTCGAATTGCCAATAGTAGTCGAATTCGTTGTAGATCTGGGAGAAGACCTGCATTGCCTGGAGATGTTGGTAGATAGCACAGTGTTCTTCCATCTTGGGATACCACTCTTCCAGTAAACGCTCGCTGAAGAAGAGAGTCATATTGCGGAACTCGGCAGGAACGAGTTCTTGTTTTAGTGCTTCGATGGTTTCGTCATCCTTCAGATCAATCGACTGGTTGTGGATATCGACCATGAAGAAGACACTATATTCCGATCCTGAGTGCAATGAGAGCTCCATGATCAGCGAGCGGAGGTACTGCGCATGACTAGCAGTCCATTTCATGCTTTCCGAGGCACGAAGAACAACAGCTGAACGTGACTTGTATGATAAATAGTCGGGTTTTCTCGACTTGCCCATGTGCTGCGAAGGGTCTGGATGGTCTATGGAGAGACTGTGCTGGCCGTAATGCTGATCTCCCCGCTCTGGATCATATCTATCGGCGTTCCGCTCATAGCACTGTGATTGAAGGTATCCCCAATCGATGTCCTCCCAAAGAACCCTACCCGGTCTTTGGAATCCCGGGATCGCCTCCTCGTTGTCTTCCTCCAGTCCGTAGATTCCATACCGAGAGTACCGATCCACACACACGTCGCTGTCAATGTTAAGAACTCGTTGGGATCCAAACATCGGGGAAGGAAAACCTGGAATTACATGAGCACTTCAGGTTGTAAAGCTCGGGGAATTGATGCAGTGTACCTTTTTGAACTCCCCGATAGACCGATATCATATCCTCACTGCTGCCGCGATCGAGGTCTCTTCCCCGTGGTCCTATGCAAGTTTGAAAGTTCCCTGCCCAAGTTTTGTACCATTCTGGCGTGTTGTATGCAGGATATGGGTCGTATATAGCCGGAACGGGGTGTCCCATGCCATCGATATGAGTAGTCAAAGACAACGTTCCTCCTTGGTAGAAGGCATTTTCCCTATCAACCAATCAGATATAGATTCGAGACCCCCTGGAACAACTTACGGCACATCATGCAAAGTTCCCTCGCCATCCGGCTCATGTTGGGGACTTGGTCGTACTGGAATGTGAATGTCAGGATGGCCGACGGGGTCGACATAATCCCCCGGGTGGAAGATTTCAGAGACTTCTGGTGGTAGGAAAGGATCCAGGGTTAAGTAGAGTTTTTCGTCCGTTGGATGCAATTGATAGAGAGAGAGAAATAAGAGAGAGCTAATTAGCAAGGACAGCCAAAGTCCCCGGCGAAAACGAGCCATCGTATGGTACTAATATATTGAGAGCAATAGTCATTGACAAAGGATTCTAGATTATATGCAGCATCGGCAAGATAGCGAAGCTGTACAAAGGTGTTATTTAAGTCAATTGACTTAGTTCTTTGGGGATGGGTGCTACAAATATTCTCCTAATGTAGTTCGATGGTCGTCGGACATGACGGGGTGAGTCGTCATTATTAGAGACCCAAGACGTAGGAAACACAATCTGTTTCCCGGTACTATATACTTGGAATATAACATTCTCCTCAATAACGAAGCATCAAAGATTTGCAGAAAAGTTATTGGTGCTGAAAATGAAATATCTCGTTGAATTAGGGCTGTTATCGCCATGACAAGCAAACCTAACATCATATATGCTATATCATGATACTCGCATCTTCGTCCAATATCACCTCGGCGTAATAGATCTTTCAGTCTTCCAAGGTTATTTACATGGGAAATACTACTAGACTGCATTCCGCAAAACCGAATAAGATATCAATATAAGAATCAATTGGACTATAACCAAAGACAAATCATAATGAATGTGTTCTAGGTAGGGAAACAGGGTATAATGCAACTCGATGAGCAGCTTGTGAGACAAAAACCCTAAGACTCCCCCATCCACCTGAGCCAGGAACAGAACCAATCCTCCCTCTCCACTCGCTGAAATGCAAAAACGCTAGAATAAAGAGCCTGAGAAACGAATAACAAAACCCCCTTTTTTCGAATGTGGATGAGAAAGATATAATGAAGAAGCCCAAAAAATTCCGAAATCATTAGTGGAGTACAATGCGTATGGATAAATCATGAAAAGTGGGTATATAAGGATGACAGGAAATAAGGAAACAGAGGCGGAGAAAGCACAAATGCAGGTGTCGACTGGAAGCCAGAATCAATCAGCCCGTGCTTGCGGCAAGGTGGTATCAACTTTAGTTCCACGGGGTGACTCTTCGTCGTCTTCGCGATCGGCAATGATATGTGCGTATGTCTTTCCAGTCTTCTGTCCTTCGGCTTCGTCAGCCGCGGATTCTTCGGCCACAGCTCCAAGCTTGGCTTCGAGTTGATCGAGGGTCTCTTCAACTTTCGGGGTATCCTCGACGTTTGGTGCAAGCGTGGGAGTTTTTTCGAGTGGGGGAGACTGCTTGGGCTTGGATTCCTTCTCACTTTCTTTCTCCTTGGTCTCCGGCTTAGTCTGATCCTCGGCTTCAGACTCGCCATCGATAGAAAGGAACTCCTCCTTTTCGGTCAGAGGCTCCGACTGTGTGTCGAGGAACTCATCGCCCTTGGCGGGGATATCAACCGAGGTCTTGGCTTTCTTTGGGGATGGGAGCACATGGGGAGTTTCATCGATGTGTTCAAGCTCCGCCGCCTCAGTGGCAATCGTGGGCGAGGTGTTGCGGCTGGATTGCGAGAGAGGGGTAGGCGAGGTTGATTCACGGCTGGAGACAGAGCCCCAATGGTGCTGTGGGTGTCGGGGAGGCAAGGCAGGTGGGGTGCGCGCCGGGATCGTAACGAGACGAGCCCGGGTGAAGCTTGGCGATAGACGCCTGATATCGGCTTCTGTCTTTTGTTCCTCTGCCTTTGTGGGCGAGGAGGGAACACTCTTCTCCTTGGGTGTGACCATGGCATTGCTGACCTCGTGAACCTCGAAGTCCTCGTCATCCTCCTCGAGATCGGCGTCATCGCGTGCATCCTCGCAGGCATTCGCCTTCGCCTTTCTATCTTCTGCCTCTGCACCGTCCAGTTGTCGGACCCTCACATGCTCATCTTCACCATGGATAGCAATCGTATCCCAATGGGGCTTATCTTCAATTTCATCCCAGGTGTTCATCGACCGACGATGGCTACGGAATGATCCCTCTGCGCTGCGGGAAGACTCACGGCTCACGGACGTGGGCTCACTTATCGCTTCATCAGTCTGCGTGCCACGGTCGACACTAGCATAGCTCCTGAAACTCTTCGAGCTCTGCACACTCTGGCGCCAGCTATTGCGCGACGAGCTATCTATGCTGCGGCGCGAGAAAGTTGAATAGATAGGGCTGTCGGGATTGGGCCGGAATTCGAAGGTTTCATGGCTTGGTCTCGCCTTGGTGCCAGCCTCACGGATGAAAAGCCCCTCTGCCTCCAGGGCCTTGACTCCGTATGGGTCGGGGTCGTCTACGGCCGGCACCCCGAACGCATATCCGTCTTCAGCGAGATCCATATCGCCGGGTGTTTCTCCGGGTGGTGGGATGAGGCTCTCGTCGACGTCGGTGTCGCCCTGTGCGGCCTTAAGGGTTTGCATAAGAGTTTCGAGCTCGTAGGGAGGATGCCGGACTTTGCCGGAAAGAATCTCGTCGACTGATATCCTTTCGCCGTAGAAACGTTCGTTCTCGTCCGTTCGCTCAATGATGATAGTGCCGTCGACCGCGACACCCGCATACAATCCCCTGCTTTTCATGTATGTCCAAATTGGAGCCCGGCGCTTGTGCACTTCGGATTCCAATACGCCGCCCAGGCCAACAGGGCCCGCGGCCGCGCTGACCTCGCCGCCGAGTGTACAGCGGAATTTCTTGAATGCTTCGAGTGCCTCGAAGGTGTTAATGATTACCACGCAATCATAGATATCCACACCAGCAAGGAAACCTATTCCCGCTGTGTGTAGCATGATGCCGGATGGCGGGCTCCATTCCCCGGTTTCGGGGAGGCGACCTAGCAGCACGCCACTTCCACCAGAGCCACTCATCCACAGACCCGTGCGCATAGTCGTGAAGATGGCGATTCCCTTGGCCTTTTGGAGGACTTTTGCCGGGATCTTCTGGATCACGCGCTGCTTGCCCTTGGGGCGGTTGATCTTGCCATTCTCATCGGTACCGACTGTGGATTCGGGGGCGTAGAAACCGTCTTTGCAGAAGCTGCGCAAGATACGTGCAGCTTTATCGGATTCCTTATCGAGTGTCATGGGCCAGAAGGCTTCGGAGCCCAGTTTATTTGACAGGCGGTTGACGGGGCCGCCAAGCTTGTCGACAGTGTTCCATGCTTTGTCGAAGCCCTTTTTCGATATGCTTTTCGTCTTCTCCCACCGGTTTGGAGCCATGGTGAGTATTTGCCAGGTGTGGCGATGCTATAATGCGACTGGAGGAAAATCGTAGAAGTACTAAGATGCGCTTGCCGCAAGAGGCTGAAGAAGCTGATCGGGACGATCTATACACGAGTCACTTTTTGAGATGCGACAGCGCTGCGAACAGCCCACATAGACCCCAAAGTTCGGGACGAGGACCCCAAAGTTTGGAACCAGGAATGTTTGAATAGAATAGGAGGGATCCGGGCGATCTGCGTTCGGCACCGAATGCGGGGAGGAATGCAACTCGATTTCAGCGATCTTGGGGATTCTGGGAAGAAGCAGAAGAAAAAGATTATAAAGTCGAATCGGGTCAGACGGAAAAGTGGCGGGAGTCCAGAACGCAACGTTGGACCTGGTTGCCTTGTTTGGTGCCATGGTTCTCGCGGCCGATGTCATCATCGGTTTTTTTTCTTTTCTTTCCTTTTCTCTTCTTCTCTCTTCCTCTCCGTGACTACACTATCCATGCACTGTCTAATAGTCCATGTACACCCTCGAGAACTGTCATATCGATCCTTCTTGCTCTTCCCGAAAATGACCAGTCCAGATCGTCACGGCGATAGATCACCTCCTCACTTCGAACAGGGTGCTCAGTTCCAAAGCCTTGTCGGCACTCGGCCCTATTCGATTCCTATTACGGAACAATCGGCTGGCTCTGTTCGCTCAGAAGGCTTACAAACGTAGTAATTATTTTCGTACTTCCATCTTCAAGCCTCAGTGGATCCCATGACAGCCAAGGCGGATCGTCCACACTACAGGCACTGCACGATGCATTCGTCGGCTCAAATTCCCCCTGTCGCTATTAATTCGATATCTAGACCTGGGGTGCCAACGCATGTCTGACTACTCCGTACGGAGTACGGAGTACCTGCAAATTGACTTTTCTCGTACATTCTTCCTCGGATCTCATAATACATATGCTGATGTACGGAGCCGGATGGGGACTTTGGGCTTCACTAGTCCGTACGAAATACCCAGTTTACATCCTTGAGCTTTGCAGGTTTCTGTACGATGCCAATAGTTCCTCAAGTCTCTGAGCCTCCCGGAGATTTTTCATCGTAGCCAATCGGGGATGATGAGGTCTGTGGCTGACGATGGAAGTATCGATTGCCTCGGGCTGAGATGCATCGACCGCTGTGGAGTTCCGATTGGTCTAGGTTCAATAAAGACATCCCTTGGAGCACATTGGATCGGATGATAGGGCCCATTACGCCCTACCCTATGGAATACATCGTACACGAGATCTAGCCACTCGAGCTCGTGGCGGATTGAGCGTCCATGGTGTTGCAGGAGTGTGGCTTCGGCGAACTACATGCCGCATCCGATCAAGTCGCATCCGACGAATCTCAAGGCAATCGAAAAAGAAACTACGGGATCTAGTGGAAGACTATCTCAAGAAAAAAAAAATGTTCGCGTTTGTACTCCGTATAAAGATCTAGCGTCCAAAATACGCGCATGGCTTGCCACAGAGCATGGCCGTGAGAAACTGCGGGGACATGCGCAGGACGGTTCCAGATCTAGTGGGTTAACATTTCAAAAGGTGATGGTATAGAAACACAGTGCAATCAAGAAAGTCCTGGGCGCATTTACAACGCACCAAGCTCCTTAAGCTTGGAGACAAGGCCGTCGACATCCTCGACCTTGCCACCGCCCTTTCGTGGGGGGGGTTCTGCAAAACGTTAGCTTAATCCCACAAACCAAAAAGCAAAGCCATCCAAACAACATACCAGTCACCTGCACAGTCTTCAACCGACGAGTATCCTCAATGCCGTAATCAGCAAGGGTCTTCTTCTCAAGGGGCTTCTTCTTGGCCTTCATGATGTTGGGCAAGCTAGCGTAGCGGGGCTCGTTCAATCGCAGATCGGTGGTGATAACCAAGGGCAGCTTAGCGCGGAGGGTCTCAACACCACCGTCAACCTCGTGAGTAATCTCGACGGTACCGGCATCGTCCTTGATCTCGACCTTGCTGGCTTGGGTGGCTTGGGGCCACCCGAGCAGACCAGCCAGCATCTGGCCAGTCTGACCCTGGTCGCCGTCAATGGCCTGCTTGCCCAGCAAGACAAGGTTCACGTTCTGCTCCTTGACAACGGCCTGCAGCATCTTGGCAATGGTCAGCGGCTCCGGGCCGCCGTCGCCCTTCTCTGGTACGTCGATGTGGAAGGCTCGGTCAGCGCCCATGGCCATGGCGGTGCGCAGCACATCAGGACATTTGGGGCCACCGGCGGACAGTGCGAGAATGTCTTCGACCTTAATGGGGCCCTTGCGCTCGCGCAGGCGGACGGCCTCTTCAATTGAGAGTTCGTCGAATGGGTTCAAGGAGTGCTTGACACCGGCAGTTTCCACGCCGGTTTGGGCTTTGTTGATGCGAGGTTTGATCTATCGAGATCGAATTTGGTGTTAGTCGTGGGATCTCGTCTTCAGAACGAATGGCGGGGGGATCACGACGACCCCGTAGTTTGGGGTGTACAGCTCCGAGGGTCGGTCGGCCGGAGCTGCACTTGGAGGGGGACACAATGCAATGGGAAGGTCAACTTACCGCATAGTCAATCACCCGCTTGATGGGCACCAATATCCGGAGGCCGCTCATTGTGTATGGTCAGTGCAGCAATCGCCCAATTCCTGAGTTGTTGTCAGGAAGGTTGGAGACTCGGAGAGAGAAAGCGTGCGGTGACGGAGTGCCAAGAAACCAGAAACGCCGACGCGGCCCGAGTTTAACCTCGCCCCGGGGTTTTTTGCGGCCATGCGGACATCGAGCGCTTGGGATCGGAGCATCGATACCATATGGCATGGGATTTCAACATGTTGAGCATCCTTGTTTCTTCACTTCTGTCTATATTATTCCAACGTTGCCTCAAATATCCAAAGTCAACCTTACATAGGCACCACCCTTGCCGAGCAGTTACTGCTGCAACCGGGCAAGGGCTGATCGACAATCTACCAGGTAACTTTTGACACTCGACTTATAAGCCAATATGACTTATACCCGAAGGCATAAGTAGTAATATAGCAGGCAAGGTAGTAAAAAACTAGCTCACCTTGACCTGGTGTAATTTCTTCCATTTCCTACACACATTACTCTTCGTTGCATACATGTATATAACTATGTTACGCCAATTGATATGCTCCCACCTAGCTAGAAAGTACTTCTTTTCTATCTGGTATAACCTAACAACAAATGCCATCTCTTCAAGTGGAAATTAAAGGAGAATTCATGACAATGAAGCCAACAGCATCCGACTGGTACGATATACGGAGTATATACCCCGGGAATCCCTTGACCCACAATCAGACAAATCTCAACGAGACAAATAACAATGGATCTCCAGGTAGCAGGCAATTCACAGATAAAATCAACATGGAAAAAGCATACCGAAAGGAAGCATAAAACCGACACTGTATTAACCTAGCAAACAATAGGGTCACCGATGGCCGCAAATCGCTTCTGTAGCCGCACCACCGAACCTGCCGAGGTTAACCATACAGCCTACATATCGTGATAGTGGGATTGCTGCTTGAGAAGGTCTGGAAGAGGACCATCATGGCCTACAATATGTGCTACAATTGGCAAGTCTTGTCATCAAGGCCTAGATACAGAGGGAGCACTTAGTTCTCTCACAAACTAACTCCACTATACTCTGTATTGTTCATCTTCTGTTTCTTCTTCCTAGTGGGGGTTCCGTTTGCCCAGCATGTGGCTTCGTTCTTCATCTTCCTTTCTTCCTCCTCCCCAATGGGCTTCGGAATTCTTCAAAAAAGAATGTATCACATATAGCAACCATGTCCGCCGACCTCGGATCCTACCGACCTCCACTAATCGGTCCCGCAACCCGCAAAAAAGAAAGAACCGACGGCTGCATGATTCGAACATGCGCCTCCGAAGAGAATTGATTTCTAGTCAATCGCCTTAGACCACTCGGCCAAACCGCCTTATGTTTCTTGATGTATGAAGTGGCCTTAAAGTGATATATAAAGCAAGCACACATGATGGCACATATGACGTCGTTGTGGTGATGCCCAAATATTCAAATGTTCCACTGTTCATGTTTATTGTTAGTTGAAATTGCAGATTTCTAGATCGTAATGTTTCCGAGCTTAGATTTCTATCTGAAGACTTCATGTGTTAGATTTCTGAGATGCTAATCCCGAAATATATTTTGTCTGGTATTCTCCCAATATATGTAAATGGAAGCCCACTGCGCCACGTTCCATGTACACTTGGAAACAGTTTATGTTCATCAGTATGGTGCTGATCATCGATTACCAAGTCTCTTGTTTATACCGCCCACTCTTTTCCATAGAAATGAGATATCCCTCAGCCTGCGAACGGTCGAAAGGTTGGCCCGGCACAGGAGCCCCACCATGCTGGAAGGCCTCGACAAGTGCCTCGCGCACAGCTTGAGGCATCCGACCTGACGAGCCACAAATATAAACCGATCCCTGCATATCATGCAACAAACGGAAGAAAAGTGGGAAATTCTCGCGCAGCGTGTCCTGCACATAAACCTTGCGATGTTGATCACGCGAGAAAGCAGTCAGCACCTGCAGCGGGATGAGCTTGCTGAGCTCCGTCCACTCTTCCTCGAAGAAGAAGTCAGATTCTCGGTTTCGGCCACCATACAGCAGAATAGTGGGGCCGATTGGAGGGCTCATGCCAGGATGTTGCTCTCGATAAGCCTGCACAAGTGCCGCCTTCTCCCAGAGCATGGAGCGCAGTGGTGCAATTCCAGTACCCGGCCCAATGAGCACAGTTGCTGCGGTGAGTTGCTGAATTGACGAGTTGAGACCACCTCGTTGGAGCTGAACTTGCAGAGTACTACCTGGCCGGAGAATGGAGAGATATTTGGTACACACTCCCTCGCGGATTCTCTTGATCACCGTTTGATATTTGACAATGGCAATGAGCAGCTCGAACTGTGTTTTGCCATCGGCAGTCTGCTTGCGCTTTCCACCGCTGGCAATACTGAACTGGCGGGCGCGCATGATCGGGAGAACAGATATCGCGTGTTGCCATGGTACTTTGACAGTGTCAAACTCGTGCAGAATCTCCAGTATACTGCGTCGTGGACGTGTCGTGTAATCCCATAACTCATCGAGATACTCGGGATTAGTAAATTCTAGTAATCGTTCTTTGTGCATTTCATCATTTGTGTAGTGCGCAATAGTGGAAAAGAAAGATCTCCGGGGTATCCCTTTGATATCTAGATAGTCTATGAGAAGCGCACGGAGAGTGAGGTTGGGACATGAGTCGAGGTCGGGGATGGGTGGTGGGGATGGGATGTCTCCGGTTGGGACGAGAGAAATTGGTCGATCTGCTTGATCATTCCAGCCCATTAAGTCAATGAGGGTTTGAACATCAGCCGAAGAGCTCTTCGGAGTGATCGCGATCATGTCCCCGGGAACGTAAGACACAGATTCAGGAACGGTCAGGGTAATATGGCGCACATCCTGCCAATGCTTCTGCGGAGTCACGCGCTTATTTTCGATTAATGTCGCAGATAATGTATGCGGAATAGGACGGAGATCATGGTCCAGGTGGTGAAGCCCCGGGTACTCATCATTGGGAGCTTGATGTTCATCTGCGACGACAGCCTGGGATACGGGGATGGAAGTGTCCCCTTCTTTCATGCGCAACATCCACTTCGGTGGAAGCTGTACATTTTCTGGAATCGGATGCTGACCAGCGGGGAGAGGATGTCTGTCCAGCAAATGTTTTCGAAAATCGGTCATCCATGGTAAGAATGTTCCCTCGAGTCTGTTTGTGTCAAGCCATGTCAGTTATGAGCCGACAACAAGCAAGTAATTATAAGTGCCACTGACCCTTCTGGATGCTGTTGATCTGCTTCTCCTGTAGGGTAGATCTCATTTGCGCCGAGTTGTAGTAGTCGCTTGTAGAGCTTGCGTATCGCCCAATTGAACCTATAACAATCAGCAATTGAAAGCCATAGCATGATAGCATACATACTTAGGATAGGAGCTATCACCCAGCCCGAAGCAAGCAAAATTTATTCCATTCAAAAAAGTAGCGGGGAGCTTCTTCAATAAGAGCGACTTCCAGAATGATCGCGCATTCGCCGGCAAATCACCTTGTCCGGTAGTCGACGCCACGAATATCGTCAGAGTATACGAGAAGAGCGCTGCCTATGAAAGTCGTAAAGTCAGTAATTTAGTTTCAAAGAGCCAGTTGTACTGCAGAGATATACATACTGGCTTGCATTGGTTTAGCTCTGACACATGCGTCGCAAAATGGAGCCGTTCGGTCAGGGCGCCCAATTCCTCGGCCACTTCCTGTGCATTGCCCGTTTCAGACCCATATAGAATGAGCGCCGACCGTTCTAAAGGCCGCGGACTTTGTGTGTCGTCCATTGTGTGCTTTGATCGAAATATCCGAAGATTCTTGCATCTGCAAAGCGCGCGACTGCCCCGCCAAAATTTAGCTGACGTCATCCGAGGCCAGGCGGGGCCTGGAGTCTACGGGGGTCTACTCAATTTCTACGTTATACCATTGATGTTCACACGTCAAAGAGAAAGAATCATATATATATATATAAAGTAGTATGGACAAGCGTTTTATGTAGGGATTGCAGTCTGAATATCCCACATATTCATCCCAGACATTCTCAGTGAATGGTTTGTGCATCCTCCATAAGAAAGGTTCCAAATACTAGTTACTTCAGTACGTGAGAGGTATGCGTCTAGGCCTCTATATTGTTTGTTTGACCTTTCTTACTCCCAGTGGCTAAGGACAGTCTAACTATGCTTTCAGCATTTCGAATAGATATCAAGACCAACTGATCAATCTAGAATACTACATAGGTACCCATGACCATTGGTGGGATATACAATGTGTAATATATTGGGCTTATATCTCAGAACGACGTATATTGATGGAAAGGAATTCATGTCTGAACATGAGAACCATTCATAGTGGCATTGAAGAAATACTGAACCATGCCCACAAGACATGATTGAGACCGCTGAAGAGCCATGTAAGGCTAAATTGAAAGAAAAAAGGGTATCGTGAATCTGCTTTTCAGAAGTCATCGTCGCCGCCGCCACCACCACCATCCTCGTCACCCATATCATCTTCTCCGTCGTCGAAGTACTGTTCGGCATTGTAATCACCGCCCATTTCATCATCATCCTCGGAGAAGTCGTCGTCCTCAATTTCCGCTTCCTGCTCATCCTCCTCATCAAGCAATGCGTTTTCATCTCCCTCTGCCTCGCCTTCTTCTTCGTCTTCCTCACCAGCCACACGCTTCGAAGGTCCAGATTCATCCTCCTCATCTTCGAAACCGCGCTTCAGTCCAGCAGCCGACGTCTGGGCCTGGTAGCCATCCATAGACGCATCGGGTCGGAAATTCGGCTGGAGGGTCTGCCACAGCTCGCGGGGGAAGAATTTCAACACTGGAGATTTGAACATGCGCGGTTAGTCGCCTGTAGTCATCTAACAACCGACTGGCTGTCAACTTACCATAAGACCGCCCGGTGATTTTGGGGAGGGTGCGCCGCTTCTTCTGATAACGGCCAGAGTAAGTGGGCATGCCATGGAAGGGATCGAAGTTGGAGCGCGCAGCGCTGCCCTTCTTGGCGTTGGAAGAGGAAGCATCGAGAACGGAGTAAAAGGGGCCTTCATGGAAGCTCTCGCGCAGGCTGCGGTAGTAGTCGACCTGGGTTTGTTCGGCGGGGCTCAACTTCCGAGCGAAAGGGATAGTATATTTCTGATGATAGGGATAGTTAGGCTTCTTCTCTTTCGACATGATTGAGGTCGGAGCATTGCAGGAGGATTTCTTGGAGAGCCGGGCCAAGAAGCAAACATACAGGGTACAAAGGCGTTGGAGCTGTGTCTGGCTCGCCGCCTGGATCAGCGTCCCATGTGAACTCTGTGCCGGGGGGCTTCCTTCCCTTTGGTGCCCCGCGACGCGACATAATTCTGTCTTATATAAATTCCAATTATATCGGTTACCGAATATGGGTCATTTCCATGTGAATGACTGCGGGCAGGATGATCACGACTACGGAAAAATACATTTCTTCACCGCCCACCCGAAATAGCACTAGGGCTGGCAGATGCCCTAAGGACTTCCCCGCGCCGCTAAGATAACAGCCGCAGATCTTTACTCTTTACTTTGGACAGACCATTTGAACTTTGCTTGAAATTGTTATTTGCATAGGATATGAGTGGGGACTATGGATATGCAGACCAATAGACTGCTTGTTGTACTTTTCGAATTCATACATCATAGCCCAGCAGTTACCACCTGGGTTGCGCCCGACTGCACGGGGCCCCAGGGACCTTCGTTCACACGCTGTTGCAGCGTTTGCATGATGTCTTCAAATCCTTCCACTTCACCGCCAGTTTCTTGTAACCGGCGGTGCAATGCTACGAGAACATCGTGTTTGGCAGTGGCGACTTTCCAAACAACGTTTTGAGAATCACCTGCACCGCCTCCGACAAAGTCTGCATAGGAGCGAGGTGGCTTGAAGAGATACGGGAGAAGAGTAGTTAGCGCTGGTGGAGTGAGAACTGCCCATGCTCCTGAGGTGGGGAAAAATCCACTCGCAGCTGGGGATAGCTGACCCAACCCCTCTTCAGAGGGCAGCTGGAACCGAGATGAGCCGATGTTAACGGATGCTGAAGGTGAGGGCTTCCAGTTTGCTGTAGCGATAGCCCTCATAAAATTGATGGCTGACAATGCGATCTCTTTCATCACTAAGACATCGGCCGCTCCCACAACGCCGTCCCAGAAAGTGGGGTGTCGGTTGAGATAAAGGAAGTAAAGAATACGTGCTGCAGCTGCTTCGCGATCCCAGTCGGTTGGGGTTTGACCAGATGTGTTCAATTCCATAGAGTCAGGGATCTCACTCCGCCAGGGACCGTGGAAAATCTTCGCCAGAACATCCAAAGCCTCGCCGTTTGGAGGGTTGGTCGGAATGGCGAGAACGGGGTTTGCACCGTGTTTTCCCGCTTCTACAAGGAGCACTCGGGGAAGTGAAGCTAGAACAGCTAGATGGCCCGTGGGTACTTCTCCGTGTGCCCATTGTGTAGTACTGATGGCGAGCGATCTGTTGATGCGAGAGATAATCCCGTCAAGAACCGTAGCGGGGTTTTGCAACAAGTGATTAGGATACAGCTCAGCATACCGAGCCACATATGCCATGATGGGGCCGGATAGATAGAGAAGATCAACTGAGTCCAGTTTGGACTCATCGAGATAGTAAGTCAGCACTTTGGAGTGTAGTTGGTGTGAGACCAGGAAGTCGAGAGCAGGGGACGAAAAGGTTGAAGTAGACTGCACAGAGCTTCGGGCGACAAGGCTCGGGCCATCAATCTCTAGTAGCTCGCGCAAAAAGCTCAGCAGTGTCATATGCATTAGGACATCGCTCTCTTGGATCATCTGACTAGTCGCAAAATGGAGAAGACTGCTGCTCTGGTATTTGGTCTCGATTTCCGGCACTTGTGTTGTTGAGATGATGTCCCAGCGTAGCTTCCCGGCCTTCACTAGGAGGGCCATCAATCTGCCCTGTGCGAGGGTTCTCTCTCGCTTGGAAAGATCACCGGGAGCATCACTCCGGAGGCTACATAGCCCGAACAATAGACCGTAAACATCTTTATCGGTGAAGACTCTCCTCCACACAAGGCCTTGTCCCGCATGTAATTCTTCCCCAGTGTGCTCATATTCTCCAACTTCCAGATTGTTTGCAACATCAATCTCCAGAAGCGCCCATAGTGTGTCGAGTGCAGCTTGCGCGACTTCAGTTGAAGAAGTTGAGAGCCATAGCTCCACCAGTGCAGACACTAGATCTGAATCACCAGCAACGATCGCAGCTTCACTGGACTTTTGTCCAGCCTTAGCCAGCAATGATAGAGCAAGAAGATTGATTGGCGGCGAAGGGGCCTTGAAGCCAGCGATTAAATTAAGAGGAGGGTCGATAGATTGGAGGTCAGTAAAGCTGAAGTACGAGGTCGCTTGAATCCCAAGTGTTGTGATCGGTGTAGGATCTTCTTGTAAAACAGGAAGGAGCGCAGAGATTTGCGACAATAGAGTCGCAGGAACCACAAGGTCTGTCGATTCCACTAACTGTAACTTCAGTTTCTCGATGAGTGAGATGTCCAAGGCCGTGGATGGACTTTCCTGGACTTGAGCGAGGTGCAGCTTCACTGCATCAAAGGTAGAGGGAATCGCCATTGTGGCGACTGGGATAGCTTCTTTAACAATTTAACACCAGACGCGAACCGGGAAATGGATGCGTCTGTGACAGATGAAGCTGGCCCTTCGCGCCGCCGCCGCCGCCGCGGGGAAAGCTCGTCTTCGCCTGAGGCATCAACAGCAAACACACCAAACAGACCATGGATGACCGCATTGTCCGACCTTCCAATCTACTACTCCGTCGTATACGAGAGATTCCTCTGGATCCCGGGATTTGAACCTGAAATGGAGTCTTCACGATGCCTAGTCTCTCAGAAGTCATCCGACTCCGGTCTTCATATCCAGCTACACCCGCTCGTTCTCCTCACGGTCTCTGATCAAATCACCCGACATGCCGCCAGACAACAGCAAGGCCCGATAGTTGGCGCCCTACTAGGCCAGCAGAATGGCCGAGAGATTACACTCGAGCATGCATTTGAATGCCAGCTTACGTGTGGAATGAACGATGAAATTGTTTTGGCGCGGGCATGGTTCGAAGACCGCCTCAAACAGTGTATGTGGATTCCCCGCAAGATGAGCCAAGTATGCTTCTATCGAATATGGACTAATGATATCACAGTCAAGGATGTGCACAAGGATCCTGCGCTCGATCTAGTCGGATGGTGGTCAACCGCGCCATCGACCGGGCCGAATGAAGCTCATCTCCCCCTCCACCAACAGATTCTCCGGGACTACAACGAATCGGCCGTCTTTCTCGCCTTCCATCCCTCAGAATTCCAAGATTCTGGTTCACATGGCGCCAAGCTTCCTCTGACGGTTTATGAGAGTGTCCAAGAGGGCGAGACATCCACCGATGGAAGCAAGGATATGCAAGTTGACGGGGAGGAGGACTCGGTGCCGAACATTCGATTCCGGGAATTGCCCTATGCAATGGAGACAGGAGAAGCAGAGATGATCGGTATTGATACAATTGTCCTATCTTCGGGCACTGCTTCTCTGAATGCGACACAGGAGTCGGCCAAGCGCGCACAACAGAAACAACAGACCGAGGCAACCAAGCAGAGCTCGCAGGTTATACTCTCACAAGAGGAGGAGGAGTGTAAGTCCTTCGCTATGTCAACACAGACTTCATTTCGCTATTTGATAACTGACCAATTCACACAGTAATCGCAAGCCTCAACACCCGCCTCAATGCCGTTCGCACCCTCGAATCGCGCGTCTCCCTCATCAAGTCCTATATCTCTAGTTTCACAGAGGCAGACTTCAACACAGACAGCTCTAAGGATGATAAATCTACCGTCAAGCTCTCACATCCAATCCTCCGTAACATCAATTCTCTCCTTTCGCACCTCTCTATCCTCTCTCCATCCGAACAAAGCACCTTCGCCGCCGAAGTACTCTCTCAAAACAACGATGTCCTTCTGGTCTCGCTACTCGGCCAACTCGGCGAAAATGTGAAGGCCATGCGCGAGCTGGGCCGCAGATCAGCAATCGTCCAGTCTGGGCGTCAAGCGGCTAAAGGACGCAAGGACCCTACTTCTATGATCCAGAGGGGCTTCGGTGATGATTTCTTCCCCAAGGGACACGGAGGTCCTGGAAGTGGGATGTATTCGTGATGTTGGCCATTTCTTGAGATCTTCCTACAATTTGCCCATGAAATACCCCCCCTCGGCAAATGGCGATGTGCCGGAACCTGGGCTTCGGCTTTTACCTGATTTACTTAGACGGTGCTCCCTTTGAGCCCGTTTCAAGATCTTGAAGGCCTTTTAGACGAGATAACGAACTTTGATATGAATTTTATCCACTTTTCCCTAATCAATCGATGACACTAGAGATCAAGTCCGGACGAATGATATTATACAAGAAATGTAACCCTGCAGCGAGGCTAGGAGAAAGTGCGAAGATGGGAATATGGGGTCGAAAAAGACACGAAGTGAAAGAGAAAAATGCCGCTATTGAAACAGACGGGTATTCATATCCAAACAATAGGACATAGAAAGAAGAGTGAAAGCGCAATAAAATCTCAAAGTGCTCGTGGGTAGCGTGAGGTCAGAGGGAGGGTAGTAACTGTGTAGGCAAACTCCAGGGAGCAAGTGCGATCTGTGACAAGCTCTGCGGATGTGATATGCCTATACCTACTGATCTTCGGATCATGGACGTGGATCATGACGACGGGTGGTAGGGTATGGGGGAGGAGGGGGCAGATAAGACTCCTGGATGGGAATGGGAGGCTGCTCCTGAAGGGGGCTGATCAATGTATCCGAGTGCGAATTATCATAACTGCGGCTCGGATAGTCCCCAAAGGGTGATGGGCTTCGGTTGTAGTGCCGACCCATTGGATCATGGACATGATCATCGAACTCCGACATGTACGGCGAGCTGCCCATGGTCATAATCTCAGGATTTGGTTGCGCGTGAGCGAGAAGTATAGCATCCTCTTCATAGGGAGTTTCTCCGTAGCGGCCTCTTCGGGTTCCGGAGACGGTCGCCCCAGCGCCACGGTACGCTGTTCCACGTTGGGTGAGCTCGCTGCCCCCTGGGGTGGTTGAAGGCCGAATGACTCGTTTTGCGAGTGGTAACTGGGGTCCAGCATACGATTCTTACGGCGGACGAATAACCAACGAGCACTTCGGCCAATGGCTTTCAAGAGATCCAGTGGGTTCATGGCATCGATCAAGGCCAGTACGCCAAGTCGTCCACCTTGATAGGAAGACTTGCCGTTGCCGTAGAAATCAGTCACATCACTTGACTCGTTATTCAGCCTGTAATCCTTCCAGGAGAAGGCCCAAAGATGGAGTATGCCGAAAATCGCCATTTCAATGTTGATCAGTAGCTCCGGGATGCCAACTTTGAGATCGTTCATGGCGATGTACTTGGTTGGCGCGAAAACGTTCTCAGAGACCAAAAGACTGATAAGTGTCTATATAGTAAGAATGCGAGTTAGCCCACCATTTCATTGGGAGCGAATGATTAAAAAGACTTACCGACTGCCAGAATGAAAGGAAAATGACAAGTTTGATCGACACGATCTTGAAAAATGGCTGGTGTTGCTTGATGTCTTGAATGAGCTGATGGTAGAACTGAATCAGGCAGTACATGGCGATGGAGACCGAGACGGACTCGATAACGATAATCTATCGATGAAATGGTTAGCGAATCGAAGGCGAATGAAACCTATGATTTGGCGACGAGCTCGAACGTACCCAAATATGCGCGAACGCAGGGCTGAGCGATGATTCGCAGTATACTCCAAAGTAATGCGTGACAACCGCAGTGATGGTCATACAAACGCGCATCAGACAGTATTGGAAGACTCCGACCCAGACAACCTGCGCGAAGATCAGCAATCTTGGAATTCCTCAAGACCCAGTTATGTGCCCCCTCTTACATTGAACCATGTCAACCCACTGCGCGGGGTGCGCCATATGCCTTCCGCTCCGAATAATTTTTGACACCAGGTTATCGGCCAAAGCCATTCCTTCGGGGAAATTCCACGGAAGTAATCCTTTTGACTGTGAAGATCCGGGGCGACGTAGTGGCACATGAGGGAGAAGAAGGCGGAGATACAGAATGCTTCATAGCAGTCGCCGAGAACCTCGAAATAGACGGAGTAATGGTAAAAGTAGATACTGAGCCATGCGACGAGGGAATAGACGGGGACCATGAATAGGATGCGAATAATACTGCGATAGAACGGGGGACCGAGTCAGTAATTCTCAATGCGCTCGCTCAAGAGAGGGGGAACCCACTGTCGCTGTTCGATCGGCTTGCTGTAGTGCGTCGCATGTAACAGGATCAGGATAAATGATACACAGCAGGCAATAATTGCGCAAGCGCCGCCCACCAGGAGCGCGAGGGTATGAAATGTGACGCCGCCATCCCAGAGTGGGATCTCCTCGACTGGTCTCGATCAGTCCCGATCAAAGCATTCCAATGGGAGGGGCAACATACTCGTTTGTTCCTCTGCCGTATTATTGCATACTGGCCAGCCCATGATGGCTGGGGGTGAGGGTGAAAATGGCCAGATACCAAAGGAGGGTTGTTTGTTTTTTCTCCCCTTTATCTTATCCGGATCGACAGGGGAAACGCCACCCGAAGTCAACGAGGCCCTGGAGAGGGGGAGATCGTGAAGCAGAGCAGTTAACCTAAAGAAGATTTGGCGTGCTCTTGGCTTATGCAGCTCTTGAAAATATGCCGGTTTTCTAGGGATCGTCGGAAGCTGAAGGCTTGGTCTTACGTCTATTTTTGGTCTTGGGTTGCTTGGCTCTTTCATGGCAGGGCTGTTGGTGGAGCCAGCACAGTGTGGATTTTAATTCTTTCCCATCGCGCAGTCGCTAAAAGACTATGGTACATGGCCAATGAAAATGGCCCGACTGCAAATTTCTCTGGTTCTGGCCCTTCAAGAGCGCCACGAATTCCCCCGTCGTCCACCACGTCCCCGTCCACGAGGTCCAGCGCCAGATCGAGGTCCTGGTCCGAAACGTTCCGGGCCGATATCCACAAACTGATCTTCATTTTCGAAGGTAATGCGTCGCATCTCATCGCCGCCACGACGTGGGAATGTGCCCTTCCGAATCAGCTCGTCAAATTGATCCAAACGCTTGTCGGCAACGGGGCGAGGAACAGGAAGATAGTACAGCTTGGGTTTAGCAGTGGTGGATTTGAACAATTCATCCAGAGGCTTGAAGCCCTGCCCAGGTTGCGGCGGAGCCACTGGAGCCGCGCCAGGCGCATTGGATAGGCGACGATCGAGCTGCTCAATATCACTACGTGGACCCAAGGGAGGAGTGCGATTGAAACCTGACTCTCGTCGGCCAGAGGGGGCAGAGCCCACTTCAGCGAGTGTAGCCGTAGTTTCTTCATCAGATGTATCGTATCTCACTTCCCAACGGACAGCAGGGCCAGCGCGGTCCCGGGATTCCTCTTCAATCTGGATCCATTCCTTAATTTTCTCATCTGGGATGAAATCTGCTCGGAGATTCTTGCGGTTCCGTTCGTTGGGCCACACGGTTCCATGGATAGCGGAACGGACTCGTGAGGCTGCTGCAAGACTGCTGAAACTGACAAAAGAATGAGTTTTGATAGAATCAAGGTAGAATTCAATGATGGGGTCCGAATCTTCGGTTCCAGGGGCGGATCCAAGGCTGACCAAGTGTTTCCGAAGCGCATTCGGTTGAAGTGGGCGCATCAGGCCGTCGATGTAAAGGGAAGCAGTTGCAGCGTGCAGCGCAGGTGTCACATCTGCATCCTCCATCGTAACGTCTCTGGGAGGAGACGCAGGCTGGGAAGCCGCACCAGTAGGAGCAAATAACCCGCGGAACCGAGCATCTTGCTTCGCGGGAATTTTGTGCGAATCTGTGGAGGTCTCAACAGGTTGTTTCTCATTTTGATCCTCTGCTGCATTCTGGCCTTCAGACTTCGCACCGCCGAGTCCCTCTTCACGAGTGACCGGGGCCTCCTCATCTTTCAACAGCACGCGTGGGACTGTTTCCTTTGCGCGAGCCTTCCTATTTGCTATTTCTTCTGCAGTAGGGGCTGGGCTCTGGCTGCGGCGTTTCCGTTTGCGTGTATCCTCCAGTGCCTCCTCCACTGGAAGAGGTGTTGATAACCCAGTATTAGCCTCTGAAACTTGGGCAGTCGGCGGTGTCGGGTTTTCTTCGGGCTTTGCGGGCTCGTTCTTAGCATCTTGGGTCACTTGGTCCACTTGTGCTTGAGCAGGCGCGGCTGGAGACTTTTTATCATCGGAGCTTGCGTTCTCTGCTTGCGTCTCCGTAGGCTTTGCGACATCCTCAACTTGTTGCAACTTCACATCCGCCGTGGCACTTGTCTCCTCTTGGGTCGGTTCACCTGTCTGTTTTTCTTCATCTTGAGGTTGATCCAATGCTGACACAGGTTCCGCTGTTTTCTCGGGTTGTGCAACTGCCTGTTCCTTCGGTTCCTCAGGCTGTTCGTTCTGCGGTTTTTCGGGTCCTGACTCTGGTACTTGGGAAACAGTCTCTGGCGCAGGTGACTGCGATTCGGGGGTCTCGTCTGCTGGAAGTGCAGCTTCCGTCTTATCCTGTTCTGTTTGTGAGTCAAGCTCAATCAGTTTGTCAATGAACTGTTGCTTGAGGCGGAGGCCAGTCTGAGGAATGCCGCGCTTCTTGCACTCGGCCTTCAGATCAGCCACTTTCAACGACGAGTAGTCACTCATGATGACTAACTCTACACATCAAACGTCGATATGTAAAGTAAGTTTCGGATGGAATAAGCTTGTCCCGAAACAACGAGACAATTGGTTGAAGCGCAGGGATTTGATCTGGGGACGCGATGGAAATGCACGCCGATGATGTAGGACACTAGCCGCATCGGGACTAGCGTCACTTTTGTTTCAACTGGCATGCAACCGGATATTTAGTCTTGTTCTTTAGTTGGACAAGGTATACCTAACTATGTATGCTTATGTCTGAGAAAGAAGGAACCTTTATTGAGATATGGTCTAAAATCCTGCAATAGGGGTCGAGAAAGTTAGCCCTATCACAGTTATGCGGCTTTCTGCTCTCTCCGATTGTCCGACGTTTCAACGAATATAGTCGAACTGAGTGGGAGCCTTGGGTACGTAGGTATGTCAACGTTTCGATATACCTACATAGGTATGTAATTGATATTATAATACAAGATATTGGAAGTTATAGCTTCTTTCTCGGCCAACGGTATCGTATCTAATGTCTCTTCAGGTGCATTCCTATGGTAACCCCCATGTCTCCTCTCAACTCCTAATCTGAAAAGCGAGTAAAGGAGGAGAGAAAAGAGAGAAAAACAGTTCAACCAATGTTCAAGAAGGACCAAGTCCCTCTTTTGGACCCAAAAGCCTGAGTAAAATTTGTCGAGTCACCGGATTTTTCAAGTTGAGCTGTACGCTTTAAACCAACGCAACTGCTGGCTTAAACCTGTTCAGCTACAGATCCCCAGCATCAAACGGAAATTCTTAATGGCGGGCTATTGAAGGGCCAAGTCCTATGTTTTGACTGTGTTTCACGTAGTTACTCAATGAAAAAGGTATACATAAGTCAGTAACGGCGAGACACGACACCTAACGGGATATTTGATAAAGATACTACCATATTCAGACTAAGAATTGCACAAAAGCATTATCAATCTACAATACCGGCTGGAAGAAAAGCCACATAGTCCAATGGTGCCAGTTCAATACCATGAGGCACGCCGACAATCTTCAAGATGTCACCCTTCCGAACCTGAACGCCGCGGAACGTGATACGCGTTGCCGAATGTCCATCCAAATAAACTGAGGGCGTGTGACTCAGAGTATCCTCACTGTTGCCAACCCATTGTCCGATTTTTCGATCATTAAGGTAAACCTTCCACTGTGACTGGCCACCATAGAGGTCATAGTAATTCACAGCGAGATCATAGGTGCCAGAAGCAAAGTTGATTCTCGTTGAAGCAAAGCTGGCAGTACTATTGGAGGCTGTAACAACCGCAACGGAACCGGAGGCTGTTTCGAATGGACTAACATTGTAAGCCTTGTAGCCCTCTAGTTTCATATCCTCGGCTTCAATGCGCCATGGGTGGTGGCCGACACGCTTAGCCTGATCAGGGATCCCAGAGAGATTATAGTAAAAGTCATTGATCGCGTCGCGCCAGACAATCGAGTGGCCACCCTGGTAGTCTAGGAAGCGCCGGACGTGGTTATATCGCTCATCGTCAATTTTTCCATAGAGTGATTCCCACTGTGTGAGGAAGGTCTGTGCTGTCTCGGCTCCGGTGTAGTGTTCATCGTAGAAATGCTGGATAACAGTTTTTCCCGAGTGTAGACGATGGGTATAGTTGACATGATGGAACCATAGTAGGAGATCGTCCGGAGTGGTATCGATGCTCTCGTACATGGCGGCGAGTTCATCTGGATACTGGCCCGAATAACCCGTGCCATTTGCCACAGTCCGATCCATTCCAATGGTCGTTTCGTCTGCGCGGGTCCACTGGCCCCAGCCATTATTGTCTTGAGATGCAGGATTGGGACCATAATGGGTGTATAGAATGTCCGTTAATGTCTGAATGCCTAAATTCCCGCTATATTGTTCATAGGCGGGCCACGATTCCATGGACATGCGAGTAATAGTATCGAGTACCTTGCGATCCAGCCCAAAGGTTAGTCTGATCCAATCTTGCAGAATATCTTGAGCATCGTCGGCCGGATTCCAAGCCAAGCGACCATAAGCGTAGAGATTCGACATGGATAGATGACTACCAAGCCAGGTGGTGTTTGTGCCCACATTGACTACAGCCGCCGATCCACCCAATTTGCGATTGAACCGTTTACCAGCCACGATACAGACGCGCTCGAAATCAGTTTCATCTCTACACTCCCTTTAATTCTTTGCTGAACTTTGTTTTGCATAACGCTATGCCTAGTATAGCTAGATTCCCCCTGACCCACACTTTTGGCAGTATCTTAGTACGGTAATATATAATGGCATAAAAAATAGCTATCGTATCATGGTTGTATGGGCTATGCGTGTCTAGAGCCATTCACTTGCAAACAAGCCAAACAGCCGAGGCGGCAGGAGATTCGGTCGGTTATCTGGCTACTTCTCACCTCCCCCTTTAGCTAACCACGTTCAATCGACTATTCTACAAATACAGTGGACGAGCGAAGACATACGTAGATACAATACTGGTAGGACGAAATATTTTTTACCAACCGACTTACCTGCCCTACAAATGCTGGATTCCTTTGGTCCCCTTCTGTTGAACACTGGATGACCACTATGTGCTGAAGTTCGGTTTACTAGGAAATTGAGGACGATGATTAACCACTTCTATCCCGACGGTGATGAATCCCAACCCCAGGACCTCGATCCGTCGGACCAGGACTCGCAATACGCTCCAACTCCTGGGTATTACGAACACACGCCACCATCAGAATATGGATTCAGCCCTTCACCGAACCGTTGCCCACAGGACGGTTCCGAGCCCTTACTTTCAACCCCACCAGAAACCAATAAGCTGCTTCAGCTCTCCGAGTGGGAAGCAAATAGGCCAGACGACGAGCTTCCCGCAAGCTTTATTCGGTATACTATCGAGTGGAAAGTCAAAGTGAATAATCGGTCCATATCAGAGGATACGGAGCAGGACGTAGCGTTGACCCTAAGTGCTTACTGGCCCTTGACCCTCAGGGATAAGCTGTATAAGGTAATCGAGGAGAAAGTTACGCGTAAACGAAGGGTTAGGTCCGACGACACATCCATTATTGTGTCGATCAACGATCGCAAGCAACACGACCTGAAAAAACGGTTTAATGGCCTCAATATTGACTGGTCCGCTGTGGAAAAACAATTACTCGTTTAGGGGAAGTTTTATACCAGCGGTAAAGAGTTGCGGCTGAGGATAATCTTCAACTATATAGAGGACGACCACTCCCCTAGAAGCGTAACAAGCAGAACCGACAAAAGAGGAGGGTCATCTATCACGAAAAGGATGCTCAACGAGCGAGATAAACAACTCGACGCGGAACAGCATACAACTAGGGAACAATCGATCTAGCGGGCTGTCTATAACTTAATGCGTTGCCCTTCGCCGTCTTATCATCTTAGTCCGCATTACTAGCAGGACCCACATAGAAAAAAACACTATCAACTAAGGACACATCATTTAAAACGACTAATCGCTTATGTTGAAAGTAGTGGCATTCTAGAGTGTCAAGATAATATCCCAGACGCTATTCGTAAAGAACTCGTCTTAGAAGAATAACAGAAATTGGAAAGTCTACACTCTAAGGGCAACAAAATGCTCGCACCAGGAAATTGCCCGCCTATCAATATCAACTTCATGGGAGGGCAACCTCACCTACAATCGCCGGCGACTAACTCAATTCCAGCATTAGCCAGGCCTCCACCGCAAAATGGACAGATAGTAGATTAGCTCATAATTGACGGGCCCCGAGATATAGCTATAAGGGAATACACCGCGTGGCAAGAAACAAATGTTGTTGACGACAATTTGAAGGCTCAATTTCGACAGGCATACGATGTAACGCTAGCCAACGGTCTAGATCTTGAACAGATCCATAAAGACCGAGACCCTAGGTTTTTTATTGAAAAAGGAGTTGCGGTAGGGATTGCACGCCGCTTCATAAGCGATATCGATAGATAGGTGAAGCACGTAAGAAGCTGATTGTGTAGGTTCGTAGTCAGAGTGGCTGGCAAAGCGTGATTAGACTTAGATTTGCTTATATATTTGTTTTCGATTAGATGTACTTCCTATAATGTATCGCTAGGCAAGAAAAATACGTAATGTATAAATTATCTAGTCAACATTGATGCCAACAAAGTTGTTTTATATAGAACTAGTGTTGATCTTGTCAGATAAAATAGGGGCATCCTGTTTTATAGATACGGGCGACCTAATATAAGAGGTGCAGGAGTATTTAGGTGCTCTAACAGGTCTATAATCAGCTCCCACGCTCAATAGTAGTCCTCAACAACAAGGCCAGCATAGCGAAAGTGACCCATTGCACTTCGTTCTCGAGATCCGATAAGCTCGACACACCACTCGAGGAAAGATGCGAATCCTTAGTCCGGTCTTTATTCATATCGCCGCCAATTACGCCTGATGAACGCCTTCAATTCAGAGAAAAACTCCTCGATAGGATTCAAATCGGGCGAATAAGGTAGTAGGTAAACCAATTTTACTCCTACATTAGCATATATTTCTTTGATTCGCTCAGAATGATGAAAAGATACATTATCCATAACTAGAACGGACTTTGGTTCAGGCCACTTTCCGCAATGTCTAAGAAGCTACTCAATAAAGTCCTCAAAAACAGATGCATCAGTCGAGCCTTAGAATACCCGAGAAAAAACAACACCATCTTAGGCGTATACAGGAAGGATCTAATATCGCTAGTCACGATAGAATTTAGATACCTACAAAGGGGTCGCACCCACCGGAGACCAACCGGTCCGTCTAAAACCAATTCGTTTATCGCATCCGGACTCATCCACATAGACTAAGCGATAGGATTGGAAATCAGATAGGTTGTGTAGGTAGAAGTCTCGCAGATCGGCGTTTTGCTCCTTTGCTCTTTGTCGAGCCACCTTTTTCGACTAGCCGACAGATGTAAGAGCCCGCTTAAGACTCGAATTTGTCACCTGAATATAGAATTCATCCTATAAAAAGAGCGCCATCTCGTCCACGTACAGCCCAGGCTTCTCAAGAAGGTGATCACAAACGGCCTCTAGCATCGGAGGGGTAATACTTCGTCGTCGTCCGACACGAGTTAGAGGCGCTCTGACATTTCCGAATTAGTGAAGATTGTTGCGGATGTTGATAATTAAACGCTTACTACACTCAGCTGCTTCGGCCATTTATGATATGTTCAGGGATTTGCTAAGTATTATGTCATAGATCATCTCGAGCTTCGATGGTGGGAGCCTTAGCGCCATTTTGCGGAGGGACGATAGAAGGTGTTATGGGTAGAAGCCCCATAAGGCATTGACTGATAGGTAATGTTAGGCACCATATAGAATTCTCCATACTCACCCTTACTCACCCTTCTGCTTAGTAAGCAGATGAAATGACTTTTAGTCGGACGTCTAGGGGATAGTGGGGTATTAGGAAATTGTTAGGACCGGCGTGCTAGCGGGTCCTAGCAGGTAATATAGAACTAAAGTGAAGGAATAGTAGGGTGCTAGTATATTTATAAACTAATCGCTAAAGAGCTAAGTTCCCCTAGCAGTCTCTGTATAGATAACCTTTGGCGGGTCACGGGACTAGGTCACCTAACCCGGTAGGACTTAGTCTCTCTAGTGCGGTCTCTAGCGGGGGGTTATGCTACCCCTACTAGGTCACGGGTTCTAGGTCATAGGACTAGGCGGGATCTAGCCTATAAGGCACTCTCCTAGTAGAGGGTCGTAATATTTTCCCCCTCCTTAAAGAGCTACGTCCTCGTAGCTAAGGGTCGGGGGTCGAGGGTCTCTTATAGTCGAGATAGGGAGGGTTTAAAAATAGTATATATATCTAGCTATCTAAAAGAGGGTAATTTGTCTTTATAGTAGAAGGTATAGATAGACTCGGAGCTTTAAGCGTTATCTCTCTTCGTCGCGTATAATCTAAGTTCTTTATATATTTTTTACTTATCTCTCTTTAAGTTATAGCTTTCTTCTTTCTATACTTCCTCGTCCTTTCGCTTTTTCTTCTTATAGCTTTTTATCGCTTCGCTTTTCCTCTTATAGCTTTTCGTCGTCTCGCTTTTCTTACTATAGGTTATTTCGACTTATTATAATAGCTCCCTTTCCTCTAGTCGCGAGTACGACGTATACCTCTATTAATAATTATACCCCTCCGGCCGTCGTCTCCCCTACTAACCCTACGAGTACGTAGTATTAGCGTTATATAGACTATTTTAGATATAACCTAGGGTATATATATATCCCTCCGTTTAGCGGGATTAATATTAATACTCCCTAATATAACTATTATATAAGGAAGCGGTAGTCTTATATAATAGTAAGTATAGATCTCCGCTTATATTTAGTAGTTATTAACGTTCCTTAGGTTAATTCTAGGCTCGACGCTTAAACTAATACTTATATTTTAGCGCCCTATATTACCCCCGTATAGAATATATCGTTCTTTATAATTATATAGGGGTTTTAAAGTATATAGAATACTTTAACTTAAGATATCTATATAGGTATAGTTATACCTTTTAGTTCTTCTTACGCTACGCCCTCTTTACCTTCCCTACCCTTTCTACCCCTTTTAACGTAGATTTTATTAATAAATTAGATTATAGGTTAGCTTTAGGCGCTTTCTTAGGCTAGGTTATATATATAGCGGTAAGAATATAGGCGTATTTTAGAGGTTATTTATCTAGTATAGGTAGTTATTATATTATACTTTTAGAGAATATTAGCTATATTATTTTTTATCCTATTTTTTAGTAATAAACTCTTATATATCCTTATTATATATCTATAGTCTCTTTAGGATATTTTTTGTCCGCTTCTTATTTTTATTAGTATTCTAGATCCTCCCCTAATCTATCTATAGTATATATTAGTATAGCTAGTTATTTTCTAAAGATCCGTTCGGTAGTTAGCTATTAGGTTTAGCGTTTTTAAACCTACTCCGGTTTTTCTAACCTTCCCAGAATATATCTAGTAGTAGATCCTAGATTATATTAACTTCTTCTTTATAGATCTTTCTTAGCGTATTATATACTCTAGCTATTCTTTCTTCTTATTATAATAGCTCTCGAATACTAGTATATCTTCTACGTTTTCTCTTAGCTCCTAAGTATTTTCTTTATACCTATATCCTCTCTATTTAATAAAATATTCGGCGCTCTTATAGTTATCGGTAAGGATCTCTTCGATCTCTTATTTAGATTAGTTATCTACTAGTATAGGATTAGGCCGCTTTTAAGCTTTTAGCGGATCTCTATAGTATAGCTCTAGTATTAAAGTATATTATATAGAGTAGATCTTATAGTATCTTAGCGTAAGGATTAGCTAGTATATCTATTATCCTACTATACCTACTATCGCGAAGGGTCCTATATAGCGGTTATCTAGCTTTTTATATAGTTATCCTAAGTTAATATATTTATTTCTTAGTATAACTTATTATCCGATTATAAAAGACTTTTTTATATATTTCCTATTATAGGCTTACTTTATTATAGTTTTTAACTCTTTTAGGCGCTTTCTTAGTATTTCTTATATTTTTAGTATTTCCTTTATATAGTTTTTAGTATCGTTATAGATTTCTATTTTTTTATTTAGTACTAATATTCTTAGTTCCGGTTAGAATCTTAGTAATACTTTAGCTAAGGATATTTTTAGTACGCTATAAGTAGTAATATTATAAATAATCTATATAAAGGGAATCTATCTTATCTAGTCGTCTTAGTACTAGCTTACTATATTACGTAAGTAGTATTTAATACTCTAGTTTTATCTCTCTATCTACCTATTAGTTTATAGATAATAGGCTATTAATAGTCTATATCTTATAGTAAGGAGGTAATAGAAATAGCTCTAGAATTTTAATATAAAGATAGTACCTCTATTACTAATAAGGTTTTCTAGTATTCTCTATAGGAGTATAACCTTTTCGTAAAATAAGGTTATAAGTTCTAGCGAGTCTATATCCTTAGTATAGGAAATATAGAGGGAGTATTTTAAGAATAGATCGACTATAACTATAATTACGTTATAGGTCTTCCCCTCTTATTTTAAGGATAGTAGGCCTATAATAAAGTCTATACTTATCTACTAGCCTAGTCTTTTTAGTACTAGTAGTAGTTCGAGTAGTTTATATAGCTTATAGCGTTTAATAGTATT